TTGACCTGAAAATGTCTGCGTACGCCTATCGGTTTTCTCCATTCCTGACTTTCAATCGGCCGTATCCCCGTTTTACTTAAATAAAAGAAAATATATACCGTACGCGCAATGTTTACCGAATCAAACCATCTTTTGTTCCTAAAAAAGTAGGCGAATTTAGGGACAAATATCTTAACACTACAGTGCCAAGACAAGATATCGCAACATGTATGGAGCAAAAAAATGAAGGTAGTCTAAATGTAAAGAAGTATTGGCTTGTTAATATTTTATGTTACCACGTGTAAAAGAAAGAATAAAAGTATGGATGGATTGTGTAAAAAAGGTTATGCTTAAGAAAGAATTGGATTAAGAAATGATGGCTGATAGAGATGTATGGAAGAGCAGCACATACTATGCCGACCCTCCATAAGGGATAAGGGCAAGTTGATGTCGACGTAAAGGCCATGGTAAAAATGGACAACAAAGAATGTCTATGAAAGATTAATTCATTTGTTTTTTAAAAAAAAATACTCATAAAACCATACTGTTAATGTAATGTGAATATGCAGAATATTTTTAATTTAACGTAAAGCTTTGAGATCAAAGCATACCTACGTTGTGTTCAAAAGGAGAAGATCAAATGAATTCGAATTAAAAAATCATATGGCTTATTTATTAAAAGCAGCAACGGTGCCCGCTGTCTGAGCTACTTAATATTTAACTCGACAGCTTTATTCGTTTTTAGAATTACAACTCTTGTATACTAAATGTCGACATATTTATAGTACCCTTTTATTAAAGAATTACGAGTACAAAGGATGCTACTTTATGTATGTTTTTTAATTTGCTTATGTTTACTTAGATATCAGTCTCTGTTGAAACATGCTGTATATGACAGGTGCTGTATTGGTATTGCTAGATTTAGTTCGTGTGTCGATGTGCCTGTAAGGTAGAGTAAAATACATGTAGACATGCTCTCTATGTGCGTGTGTGTTACTGCGGTGTGCGTGACCTACTTTACGCCGCCGCCGCGCTGGCTGGTAACTCCACGTTATAGTAAATGAGACTATGGTTGTATGGGCTTACACGAAGTCTTTTATTTTAAATTACAATTGATCCTTAAAATAGATATATAATATAGACGAAGTAGAGTGTTAAAACTTATGAGTTACTTAAACTCGCATTGTTTAAACTTTTGTGAGACATTATTATAACTAATTACGAACCCCTGGCCCTGAAGATGGACCCTCGATGGGTCAAACACTAGGAAAATAAACGCGAGAGATAGCCGTTAAGTAATTAGTTACATTGACTATGTTAAACAGAAACTGTAACTTAAAATAGGAACAGTCGTCCCTCACCCTGAACGGGCTTGTCTTCCATTTAATGTCAGAGGTCGCGCGATCGATGTAGCAACAGACAGCGGCCGCGGACGTGCGCCCGTGGGTTGCATACCCTGTTGCGAGCCTCTAATGCTGACGTCATAAAATATAATTACTAAGGGATTCGAATAACCTTTTAATCTTACTGTTGTTTACAATAAAGACATGATAATATATTTTTTTAATATTATATTTTAGATAGAAGGAATATTTGAATGTTTTATGTTAAAGGAAGTGTAATGTAAAGACAAATAGTTGTATTTTCACATGATTGATACATTTTGACAAAAAAATAATAAGATACATAAATCAGAAGGCATCCAATCGTATCTAATATTCTTTCCATATTTATGAAATTTATATCACGTAATATTCCTAGATATTCGTTTGTGATGATGACGTGACAAGTTACGACAAACTAAATTAGGTTGTCGTTATTGAAATGTAAATATGTTACTTTTTTTATAACATAAGGTGGCAAACAAGCAAGGGGCCACCTGAATCCACCGAAATGGATAGCGACCGCTGCCTATAAACATCCGCAATTGCAGATGCGTTGCCTACCCTTAATTGACAGGGGAGGAGACGCACATAAAGAGGACATTTCCCCTTCACATACGTCTCCTCCATCGTCAAATCCACTTTTCCTTTCCATCCTCTTCTCTTAAGAAAAGGGTGGAAAGGAAAAGGGACATAAATTAAGTTAGTAACTTAATACTAAAAAATAATATATTAACTATTTGAGTTTGTTGAATTTATCACAATTTTTGACATTTGCTTTGATTGTTTTTCTGTTATAAGTAATTTAAAAACATGCAAAGTCAAGTACCACTGATAATTACTGACGCCACGATTAGCAAAGTTTCAATTGAATCTTGAAAACATTTATTACGAGTACTTAATTCTTTTTAAATATCATCAGTCCTGACATTAACGTATTCGTTTTATCTTAGAAGTACCTGAAAATGTCTTGCATTTTTCTCTTCATTTCAAAGCATCTGTACTAATCTTAATATCAGACATGTAATGCCTACAGATATAGTGTATATATAGGATATTAAATGTAATTTACGTAAGGTATCATCAGATACGACCGCTTTGCCCTACATAACCGCCTTAATTACTCCGCTCGGGATATTATTTAACGCATTTGTGTCTGGAAACTTTAATCGTTTAATGTTAAACCTTTGTCGTATGTAAAACTTAAGTTTGAGTAATCGGTGATAAAATAATTAATCTTAAACCGAGTAACATTAATTCATATTTAACGTTGTTTTAAAATTATAGATTGGCCATTAAAAGTTTTTTTTTCATAATATAAGGTGGCAAACGAGCAAGCGGCCACCTGAATCCACCGAAATGGAAAGCGACCGCTGTCCATAAATATCCGCAATTGCAGATGCGTTGCCTACCCTTAACTGACGGAGGAGGAGACGCACTAAAGAGGACATTTCCCCTTCCTATGCGTTTCCTCTACCGTCAAATCCACTTTTCCTTCCCTCCCTCCCTCTCCTCTTAAGAAAACGGTGGAAAGGGAAAGGGACTAAAATTAGGCCTCCGGCACCACACTCATCAGACGAAATGCGGAATTGCTTCCACTTCACGCCTGTTTTCTGTGTGGTTGTGGTATTCGGCGATCGTGGCACCGGCCCATTCGTGCGAAGATGTTAAAGCGGACTCTACCACTGTAAACTGGCCACTGGCCTCTAAAGGCCTGTCCCACCACTTGCTGATAGAGGCTCAGGTAGCTTAAAAATGACGTCACTGTCAGATAAGAGAACAAAATCCGATATTTCCATAACATATTTTACACGTTGGATTATTACCATACAATTTAAAATTTGATGGGACAGGCAGTAGACACGAAAAAAGTTAAGTCCGAAAGAACCAGATGAAAGTTGTTATTGTGAATAACGGAAAAATATTTAGATAAATTGTTTCTTTTTGAAAAGATATCAAAACATTTATCTTTACGAAAGTAATAATTTAAAGGAGTAAATCTTTTATCTGTATTACAGTTCCTAAAAGCGGGGCGATACAATTTTATGTCGGTCGATCGTTAAGTCTTGCGGAAAGCCGACTCGGATTACGTACAACTCGTTTCAGGACCACTGACAAAGTTTCCTTTCAGCGACAGATGCCATTTATTGCCTTCGGCTCGGATATGAATCGTGTGATGAAACTGTCGTAAAGTTCGACTTTAAAAATTTATCTTTATGTGCGGTTTGTTACGTAACTCAAATGTACATAAACGTCTTACCTAAATATCCTAAAAAATCAGGAAGTGAATTCATTTTGTATCTACGATGTAAATCAATACATTTTGATAATCACATTGTATTTCATCAGTATATTGGAAAAGGAACTTGTTTACTAGAGTTTGTAGCCTAAACTGCTGAACAAATTATAATGAAATTTGATATAGATGTAGAGGATAGTCTGAAAGAAGACAAAAGCTACTCACTCGCATAGGAGTCGCGGGCGAAAGCTAGTTAAAAGTGATTTTCTATATTTAACACTTAACTGTCATTTTTGCTTCATTTTTACGACTTAGCTACAAGTTGTACGCTTGGATCAGAACTTTTCTAATCATCGACTTGGAGTGCTAACTTTTGATAAGCTCGTTGATTTGCTGCCGCTTCGTGTAAGACGAGAGTTATCGTTAATTGAAATGGAAATGAAATATCTTTTACTTTGATAATTAAATTATACTTATATCCAATAATAAGAACATACCTAAAATTTTTCTATTGTTAGTAACCGCTGAATATTCTTATTCAAAGTAGCTAATAGATGCCTCCGCCTATAATTCCTTACTTTCAGTATATTTTCTTTATGAAATTGTATTTTATAAGGCAAAGTCGGCCTAAGGGAATATTCGCAAAACGTCATAGGCCTCCAAAAACCATTTGTCGTCCGCACAAATATTGTTTCAGGACCTTCGACTAAGTAGGCAATTACGTATACCGGTTGGCCAATGCCGGGGATACATAAAAAACCGAGTAAGGGATATTTATGCTCCTTTGTTCTTGTCAAAGCGGTTAAGTTGGAAAAGGCTCCTTAAGGACGTAAATTATGAAGCAAAAATGTTCTGACAAAGAAATGTATTAATGAAGTGTAATTTATAAAAGTTGCGGAACATTGTAATAAAAAAACCTACTCGTAGTCAACTTAAATTTGATATTGAAAGTTTGTCTAAAGCATTTAATACAACATAATTTCCTTAAATCTCAAACACATAGCTCATAATATACACTTGTATTAAATAATTATTGTAAATAACAAAAGATTAAGCTTTAAACAGTCTGCAATGTTATTATTATCACATCAGTATACCTTTGGTAGTTTTAATTAAATATTTCTACCCTAACTCGTATGTCGATAGAAAAGTTTAAGATAACAAAACTTTGAACACGATGAAAATTTCATATGTGCTGTACCGACAAGTTAAAGTTGGAAATATTAAGTTTTACACTCTCAAAATATGTTGCAACTAAACAACGAAATTTCTTTTATAAGTGACTATCTTAGTCATAAAAACTGTTAGAGAAAAAAGTACCTAATTATAGTCGCACTTATGAAAGTAAAATGAAGACTGAAAATTATTTTTATTTAATATCAAAGTTGTAATGAATAAGTCCTACCTTGTTCATCAATTTAGAACTTTAGAAATGTTATATTACAGTATAAAGTTAACACATTTTGCTCTTACATTTTTCACTCGCTCCGAGAAACCTTTGAAACGCTTCGAACTGAAATAAAAAAGAAATTCTATGAAAGCTTAACTAGGAGCTTTCAATAAATTTCGCTCGGTCGCATATGAATATATTCTCATTTGTAAAATGTTCGCGCATAGAAATATCTGGGCCGGATTTTATTTCCGTTCTGTGTAGTAGATTTCTATACAAAATACTGTTTTCTATAATTGCTTTTATGCTATTTCGAAACTCTCAAAAGCTTGACCCTAAATAAATACCTTTTCCTTTCAGAGTAAAATGTATTTCGTATATTATTTTGAATATTACCATCAAATATGAATAGGGAATAAATTGGTGAGGAACTAAGGAGTAATAATGTAATACATTATTTTACAGAATTTACTATAGTTATAATATACGTAATAATCGATTCTGTTTATTCTAATGTATATGAATAGGTAGATAAAATCCATAATATTTACAAAAGCACTTAGATTTTGACTTTTAAATAAATAATAACCTTATTACTTTCTACGTTCATAAGTTTTTATTAATTTTTAAAAACTTTCACGTTATGTGCGCCTCGGCTTTTACACTTTTATAATATTCATAAATTCACTGTAACGTTCTCGAACACATAAAATCTCATCAAAAACATTAATCTCCCAGTAGGCTGTTACATTTTCATCAACTTTTCCCTTTCATTTTCGCTCCGCGAGCTTTCTCTTTGTAAATAATTGATTCATTCATTTAAAATACAACGAATGGGCAGAACACAATTACTATACTCGTTTCGGCACAATACAACAAAGGCAATTCTCACCTAAGCCCTCGACCTTTCGCTAGGGAATAACACTAAGCAAATAGTAGAGTTCGGGTTCTGTTATGACAGTCTATACTTATATTTCAATTCGCTTAGTTTTGTTTAGTTTATACTTAAACCAGAGGGCTAATTATGAATATTAGCGTAGCAGTTCAGTGAACATATTCATATTATTGAAAAAAAAGGACGAAATTCAGAGTTTTTTTGTGACTAAATCGCCACTGTTTGTCTTAAAGAGGCATTTACAAATTCACCGGGCTTGAGGTGGCCTAGCGCAGATGGCGCTTAGTCTAAACCTCATTGGTTCGGCGACGTACCTTATGCTTGGTATGCTAAATAAATCTAATACAAATGTTGTCAAATACAATATATTACAAACCGTTCACACGAATATTCGTACTAAACTTTTAGATTTGTCTTGATATAAATCCGTATGTACGTTATAAATATCGAGTTTACCTTAATAAGATTATCTCATTCCATATTTTGGACTCTAAATTAAAATTATTCTCATAGATATCACTTATTCCTATTACATTCTTGTTACCAGTGACAAACATGCTTGTAAAATCCTTTAGGAAGAAGCAGTTTCGACATTAAAAGTACCTTCAAAGAAAGACCAGTCTCGCATAGGATTAGACCCAAATTTGTAAAACAAATTGGCTCATTCGTTCAGTACGCCGCGGTTGCTTGGAATTACATTAAAAATGGTAATTTATTTTAGCAGCTTCAAGAGGGATTAAGGTCACAATAAAAGTAAAATTCGCTCCTGTAAAATTAGAACTTAGAAGTAATAAATATTGTAATTAGTTAATAGACAATAAATCCTCAAACTAAACGCTTTTACAATCTGAAAATGTTAGTTATAAATGAATCGTTGACCGTCAGATGTAAAGCGAAGTAATTTTACCAAAACTTTACCTTGAACAAGTTTAAAACCATAGAGCGCCTACTTTTCTGTTGACTGATGACCTCGTAAGTGGTGTTTTAAGACGTCAGTTATTCGCTAGTCCTGTAATAGACTGGTTGCGTCTGAAAATGATACCAACATTGAGATCTAAATGTCGATTTTAAAACTAGACAACTACAAAATTATTCCTAGAAATACTTATAAAGTCAAGTCAAATACTTTTTATTAATACGCTTAAAAGCAAATGGGTCTCATAAATAATAAATTATCCGTTTGGCTGAGATAAATTTTCGGAAGGACAGAGAAAATAAATTAGCCTCGTGCTATTAATCAGGTGGGTTTCGCGTCGTAAATTACTTAATAAACGAACTTGTATACTGTCTGACGAGAAACTTTTTCCTTTATTCTTTTCTTATAAATGTAAATAAATTAGAAGTAACATTAAACTGAGAGATTATATTCATACAATTATTATATCACAGAAGAAAATTGTATTGTTATTATGAAACAAAGTTAACATTTTATTTAACCGTGAAAAAGTAAATATTCCTAATTGGGAATAATTAAGGTAGGTTTCTGATCAGATTTTAGTCTAGTTATGTTAAATAACTACTGTAATTTCGTTAATCATCATCATCATCATCATCAACAGCCTTTATCTGCCCACTGTTGGGCATAGGCCTTTCCCAATACCTTTCACAGATTGTGGTCCTCCGCCTTTCGCATCCAACGACTTCCCGCCGTGCGCACTAAGTCGTCGGTCCACCTGGGTGGAGGACACCCTACGCTCTTGGTTCCCTTTCGCGGCCTCCATTCGAGGACTTTCCTCGCCCATCTGGCGTCGCTGGCTAATTTCGTTAATGAAACATAGTAATTAATATAAAAATTGCTTTGTTATTCATGTTTGCGTGTCAGTGTATTTAACCTTTCCATCATCATCATCATTATTAACATTATCATCATCTCCCCTGCCTTATCCTACTCCTGTAGGGTCGGCGCACCGGGTTTTCGTCCTCCAAGGCACTCTATCATCCGTCATCTGTCATCACTCCCTTTCTTGATCATGTCACCTTTCATGCAATCCATACATCTCTTACTAGGCCTCACTCTACCGGTGTTCCCCTCCACATTTATAAGTAACGTAATGTGTGCTTATCCTAATGTGTTATACTAATAGATAAGTAAGCCTGAAAGCTTTTTGCTAAATGTCTCTCTCCCTCGTAGAAAACCTGTAGATTAATGACTCCATTTGTAAGTTATGTGCGTTTTATGTAATTGTACTATTATTTTCATCCAGTGTTTCTTAACTCCTATCTTAAGAATTCATTCCATAATATAACAATCTTGGTACTGTAACCTTAAGATATAAAGTAAAAGAAATAAACACTTTTTTGTGTTTTTTACCTATATACCTTACTAACTGTTGCTCGCGGATGCATCCGCATAAATTTAAAAAATAATAAAAAAAGCTTATGTTACTCACAGGTAAATTACCTTTCTAACAACGATTAAAGAATTTTTTAAATCGGCCCTGTATTTGAGTTATTTCAATACGTACAAAAAATACATATCTTTTCTTTTTATAACATTAGTATAAGTATAAATAATAAGATAAAGAGAATGTACATATATACTATTTCTCAATCAACACAACATACATTAATTCATTAATCAATGCACAAAGCTAAGCCTATATTGCGTCCAATAACTGTTGGCCTCACTCCAACCTAATGTAGTGTATGTATCTACACATGTTATGTAAAAATATATACCACAGCGCTGTATTTTTTTTATATAATATAAGGTGGCAAACGAGCAAGCGGCCACCTGAATCCGTCAAAATGGCGAAGCGACCGCTGCCCATAGACATCCGTAATTGCAGATGCGTTGCCTACCCTCATCCGACGGAGTAGGAGACGCACATAAAGAGGATATTTCTCCTTCCTATGCATCTCCTCTACCGTCAAATACACTTCCCGTTCCCATCCTCTCCTTATAAAAAGGGTGGTAAGGAGTAAGGGACTTAAATTAGGCCCCCGGTACCACACCCATCAGACGAAGCACGGAATTGTTTCCATTTCTCGCCTGTCTTCAGTTTGGTCGTGGTATTACACCGGGTGAGCCGGCCCATTCGTGCCAAGATGTTAAAGCGGGCACTACCACTGTTGATACTTCTAAACTACTGATCAGAATTGTAATTAATTTATCCAGGTTGAAGTAAGGAAACCCGACAGTGTATTGTTTTTTTCTTTTGGACTATACGTTTGCTGTTATTGCAATGCTTACCTAAGCCAGTAATTAAGTAAAAATAATGTTGATCGTACAATTTTAAACTAAAACTGAAATCTAAATTAACTGTTATTTCTCTCGTATTTATTTAATAGATATGCAAAAAGTAACGTAATTAAAATGTGAGATTTTAATTACACGTCGAACGCGAACCTTTGATATGTTAAATGAACAGTAATTAACAAAATGAATACGATATATTTTTATTTCTGAACGTTATTAATAAATTGAATATATAAAGAACCATTTAGAGTCAGACTTTGAAGCACAAGCATCACTAATTGATTTTTCTACATTTATAGGTTAGCCGTAACTTATATAACTTAAATTTTATCTTATCAGACATGATGATTAAAATTACATTTGTTTAATATTACTTTCTTGTAGAAATACTAACATAATCTGTCAATGACGTAGAGGTTTATTTTTATTTTTTATTCATTTATATAAGTATACACAACAGCTAACTTAATCACACAAATCATAGGAAAATAGAACAAGTACACACAAAACCTATAAATTAGCCAATAGGTGCATAACTACTCGTACATTATCAGAAACAATTTATTGAAATTAATTTTTAGTTACTAAAGTTAAGAAAGTACATACATTATGAAGCGCTAAACAAGATCACATAATTATACATATTAATATTTCTTTAAATTATATTAGATTAAGTACATACATAATTTTATTTTTGAAGCTACTTTTTGAACGTTAAATCAGTTATTGATGTTATTTGAAGCATAACTACTATACATTTGAAACAAAGCATTCCAGTAACAACGCTATGTACGTAAGCACTCTCAACCAATGCAAAATGACGCAAATGCAAATGATATTTAAACTATACATGCGAGTGAAACATTTAAATGTAAATTACGTAAACAAGCAATAACATTATCATAGCTAAACTTATGCTTAATGCATTTCATTTCTCTACAATATTATGTCTATACTTATATGTTAATTTACATCGACTTCTGGTTAACTTTATGTATTTTTTCTTTCTTTTTCTTGTTTATGGCTCTT